TTGAAATAGGGTAGTTGGTGCCTTCGGCCGTCGTTGCGGTGATCTCTCCTTGCTTTGGTTTGGACCGATGTTAGTCGCTGGATCGAGCCGTTCAGGTCATCATCGTCTGCCCTCACTTTGGCGTAATAGGCATTATGGATCTCTTCCCACGTGGTGGTGGTGGGGGTACTTCATGAGTCTACTTAGCAGCTTTTTGGTTGCTTTTGACCCATTTCTGTTTAACCCATTTTGGAAGGCTGCTACCGCCATCCCTTATGACACATTTGGTAGGCTCATCCTTACCCTGTTGAATCGGGCTAGGAAATCCCGAAGTCCCTCGCCCGTCGTTTGTCTGACGGCGAAGATATCATTTACCCTAGCATCTGCCTTTTTCTCTTCCGCATGAGCGGTGACGAACTTATCTGCCATTTCTTCGAACGTTGATATTGATCGTGCTGGTAGTTGGGAATACCATGTCAACGCTCCCCCTGTCAGAGTTTCGCTGAACTTTTTCAGCAGCACTGACGGCACATGTTCTTTCGATAGATCGTTACCTTTTACTACGGTAACGTAATGGATTAAGTGATCCTTCGGGTCCGTGGTGCCATTGTATATTTTTAAATATAGCGGCATTCTGAAGGTTTTCGGAATAGAGTGGGGTGCTACCCCTTCGCTGTAGAGCTATTTGACAAATCGGTCCACATCACGTTTTGGTTGCAACTTCGCAGTGCCTGGTATTTATCAACCCTTTCCTGATGCTCTTTCATCTAGTCGCAGAGTGTTTTGTTCTCATTTTCCATATCTTCCACTTTCTTTAAGATGGCTGCAAGTGCATCGTTGCCTGCATTAATGACATTATGAGTGATACCTGTTTGTGGAGTTTCTGGCTCATCGGCAACAGTTGCAGTTTCTGCAGGTATCGTGCCTTCGATATCCCTTTGAACGGATTTCTCGAGTATATTGCTCAAGGTGTTTGTCAACCATTCTTCTAATAGCCTTCTCACGGCCGGTGGTGCTTCTCCTACTGCGGATGTTGAGGTTTCTTTTTCGCGCGAGACAGTTAGGCCCTCGTGCGGGGAGAGGGGGGGCGAGATCTCTCCCTCAGGTGTAGCACTTGGCGTTGCGTTTTCGTTGTCTTCCCCACCGGCTTCATTGAGGGAATTCAGGAGGTTGTTCGTGACACCTACTATCGCCTTTAGCCTTGTTTCTCCCTTTCTCGCCATTGTTGGCCTTTGTGAGGCTAAGAAGAGGTGATTATTTCTTTCAAGAATCTAGACGAAACTAAGATCTCAGCTATAGAAATCCCCACAAACGACGCCAAATTGTTTGACTCAAAAGATATCGGAACCTTTTTGAATAAATCAATCAAAAGAAATGAAGGAGTAAATCTTAGCTAAGTATAATAATTTCTAGAACAAAGGATAAGGTTTCGTTATCCTGATAAGACAAAACCTTAAACAATAATCGTATCAATCGTTTATGTAAGCAAATGCTATAGCAAGTATTATCAGTTAGGAAAATGCCCAGCCCCTTACAAGGTTGTTTTATGCTCTATATTTAAGGGATGAAATCCCTTCTAAGCCCTAAAAGACAAGTCATAGGGAATATTCGAAAGAATATTCCTAATGTCCTCTAAATGGACCTACACTGCTGCAAAAGTCGTACAGTCTCTTGTTCGCATGTAGGTCGTCCCCTGCAGGATGTCAAGCTTCGAGAATCTCGTCGTTCGTCGTACTCATCAACAATCGTGGTTGTTCAAACTTGGACCCATACACTTTACACATATTATTCATTTTACCACCTCTCCATCACAAACCCCAAAAGTCATAAATGATGTTGTCAACGTGTTACAAAGTGAATCAATAGTTGCTCGTTGCAATGAATTTTGTTCATTGATCGAAATTGACATCTATGTTATAAAGTCTGGTAAACTAGTATAAAAGAATCCTTCCCCACCGGCTCTGTTACACCCAGAAAGAGACACTTCTATTAATGTCGTTTTAAGTCCGAAATAGACTTTTCTGTGGTGTTTCAGTTCGACTAATTTGTAATTCCATGTTCCATGGAATCGTTAATAGCCAACAACATACCTTTCTCGGCCTTTTGGCTAAGATCAAGTTAATAGCCAACAACAACAACAACAAAATCCAATTTAATTCCATACGTGAAGTCTGGAAAGGATAGTATCTACGCCATCCTTACTCCTACACTATAAAAGGCAGAGAGGCAATTCGACTGAATAGCCATAACCACCTAAAGTTAACACAAAAGTGAGTCTCTCCAATGCTAGGGTGAGTGATATTAAGTGTAGATTATCTTCAAAAGTGAGCCCGTTTGGCATGAGTTTTTTTTCACTTTTTTTCGAAATCAGATAAAATTTTTAGTTTTCATTTGAAGATTAATTTTAGAAGTTTTCGAAAATTAAAAAAACTCCAAAAAATTATTTTTCAAAATTTTCAATTATATCATTCACAAAAATTCAAAAACAACCCAAAATTATATTCATGTCCAAACACTACTCTAATTTTCAAATATTATTTTTATTTGAAATAAAAAAAAATACTTTTTCGGAATTTTACGATTCTTATGTCCAAACGCCACTAAGTTTAGATTATCTTCAATCAATCAACATCTTTTCCCTTTTTTCCCTTCTATCACATTCTTTTTCTTGTATCCTTCCTAATAAACAGCCAGCCAAATCAACATTGCTCCCTTTGAAATTCAGATGAAATGTACGGGACGTTTTCTTTCTTTTTTTATTTAACTAAATTAAACAATTATGAAAAAAAATTAAAAAAAAAAGACTAGCTTAAGGGAAAAAATAGAAAAAAGGATCCATCATAAAAAACTATACCCATCTAAAAACTAGACTTTAGCTTATGACAAAAACGAAAAAATAAAAAGAAATAATACAAGAGAAAGGCAACAAGAAAGAAATAATTGCAAATAGGGGATTTCAGTTCGGTATTTCGGTATTCGGTTTATCAATTGTATATACCAAATACCGTACCATAATATTTTGGTATGGTTCGGTATTTCTTATTTTGGTTCGGTATGATTTCGGTTTAAACCAAATCTTAACTGTCTCCCCTACTCCACTCCATTAACTGATGTAATCCATGTTGTTTGAGATTCCACCTAAAGATCAATTTAGTTTGTTTATGCTAGCAAAATGGTTCCATTAAATGATCTCACCTCATATTAAATAATGATCATTAGTTTAATGGTCCAATTTTTAAGATGAGACTTGAAAAAGGGTACACATTTCTCCGAGACCACAAATAGAGTGATTTGTAACTTTCATTTTATTAATACACGGGGCAGTATTACACAAACATGAGAAGTATTAAACTGCCTCATAAAGCTTCCATGATTTAACTAATCATAAAAGAAACCACGGGCAACTAAAACCCTATTTGGTATGAAATGAAAATTATCCAAACCAAAAGTGATACTAAAAGCAAACGAAAGTTGTATAATGCAAGAGACATGACTGCTTACCTCCATACAAATCATCGGCTTATATACGTTCACTTAAACCACTTCAATATCTATACAATCTGTGACATATCGGATAATGAAAAGAATTTAAACCAGCTTCACTGCATGCCTACAGACAGACACTAGAATTCTTCAAAAGTAAATGTGCTTCGAAAAGTCATCCGCCTATTCCACCTATTTTTAACTTCTTGCTCCAGCAATTCATGGACACACTATAATTTGTTTCATGGATTAGCCAACAACTCAAGTTATAAATAAAACTAATCAGACTAATAATGATAGGGACATCAAAATATTGATCTCACCTCATTAAACTATTTCGGTATTTCGGTACCGAAATATCAAAAATCTAACACCGTATATCATACCGAATTATCGAAATATCGAAATTTCTGTACCGAAATAAATCGAAATATCAAAAAATTGGAAACCGAAATACCAAATTAATTTGGTTTGGAATTCGATTTTTCGGATTTTATGTCCACCCCTAATTGCAATCTCAATAGCAGAGATGCCGAAGATGGAAAATCTACAAAGAAATAATTCCAGAAAGTCCACCAAATCTGTACCAACTAGGTTATTTTTCAACCCTAGTTTATCTATTTTTAAGCGGATAATATGACTTGACCCATATTTGACTTGCTTTTAGCGGATTGGATATCCAATCTATTTTTTAGCAAGTAATATGAACGGGCACTTACAAATTTCCATTTTGCCACCTCTAGTCTTCTACTAGCATGTTTAGCCAAGCTTCTCCTGGTTGNCCGTTAGGACCGCGGGCCCGGTCCGGTCCGGTTCAGGCCCGGCCCACCGAGCAGCATTAGTTGAGAAGCACTTTTTTTTCCCTTCAAAAAAATATTTTTTTTCAAAGTTGAAGTGTTTGGCTAAGTTTTTAGAAGAAAAAAAAGTGGTTTTGAGTAGAAGCAGAAACAGTTTTGGAGAAGCTGAAAAAATAGCTTCTTCCAAAAAATACTTTTTTGAGAAACACTTTTAAGAAAATACACTTTGAAGCACTTTTTAAAAGCTTGGTCAAACACAAATTGCTGCTTAGAAATGCTTTTCAAATTAATTAGCCAAACACAAATTATTTTCTACCAAAAGTACTTTTAAAAAAACGATTTTTAAAAAAAAAACATAATCTCAAAGTAAGCTGATTTTTCCAACTTGGCGAAAGAGTCTATATATCATAAACCCCAAAAGTCATAAATGATGTTGTTAATGTGTTACAAAGTGAATCAATAATTGCTCGTTGCAATGCATTTTGTTTATTGGTCGAAAACGACATCTATATTATAAAGTCTGATGAACTACTACTATTATTGTCGTTTCGAAGCCGAAAAAGACTTTTTGTGGTGTTTCAGTTCGGCTAATTTGTTATTCCTGGTTCCATGAAATCGTTCGATTGAATAGTCATAACCACATAAAAGTTTGACACATAAGTGTCTCTTGATGACGTGAAAGAGTGATATTAAGTGTAGATTATCTTCAATTGAAACCTTTTTTGCCAATTAAAAAAAATCTCAAAGCCATAATCTTCATAATTATTTCCCCATTGATACAAAATCAGCCAGTAATATAAGTTCATATTGATATCACCATCGGTCCATCACATCTTAACAATTAATAATCACATAGGAGAAACTCCCATTTATGTACAAAATAATTACACTTTTTACATTGAAAATATACAGAAACCACGAACCATCTTCAGTTGAAAGAGATGGATGGGCTTTTTGAACAGAAATACTATAGTCCAAATTCTTTTTTAAACCATAAATTATGATGTAAGCTCGATCACTTACGATAATTTTAGGTTCCAGCCTAGGCCATGGACCTTTTTGATCGTCCATTGATCCCGTCGAGGTAAGTATAGTCGAGATTAAAGATTATATTAAATATAAGGGTTGATGTGAGAAGAATAGTCACGAATGCCAGCTCCTTCCCATCCCATCCACTCTTCCCACATGTCCCAATCTGGATCGTTCACTCCTCTCATGGAATCACCATCATCATATTCCTCGTATATCTCCATCTCTGCCCTCTTCGTTTCACCTCTCAAGTTACTCATCACAACCTGCACCAAAAACCCTACCCAATATTAGAAAAAAGAATACTACTATATTAAAGAGACTCTGAATAATGGAGAAGTTAAAATAATTCTTAAATTGTTTAAAAAGGGACCTACGCAGACAAGTTCTAGTACGTATGATAAATAATTGAAACGGATAGTGACATTATTATATTATTATTATTATTATTATGTAATTGGTATTTCTCAACTTTCAACAAAAGGTGAAAAGGACTTTTTGCCTAAAAAATATTCACGGTTCCCTACAAGATTAGATTATCCAAAGATGAAGTGATTGATACCTACTTAAAGTATTTGTTTACGGAATAAAATTTTTATATCCATTGAATCTCTGCTTTTAATAATGGTCCACTTTATTTATTAGTATTAGGGATAGATTAGAAGCACTATAAAAATTTACAACCACACTATCAAGAATCCAAGCCTTCTTTTGCTTTACAAAAGTAAGTTTGGTACACAAAATATTTTGCATTTCCCCACGTAAAATATTTTGCATTTCCCCGCGGGTATAAAGTAAACAATCTAATACAAGCATTAATAATCGTTTCTAAGGCACGATCCGTCACAAAATACAACTTTATCCTTATATAACTTTATCCTTGTTTCAGGGGATCCCATTAGAGCTAAAAACAACATATTAACCACGTTTGTTTGAGAACAGGAATAGATTTTAAAAAAAAAAAACATTTGTTTAATTATGAAAGCGAAAAAAAATGAATTAGAAAAAAATGGACAAACAAAAATAGTTGGAGAGATGGATGAAAACTTACATCGTATGCTTCATTGATTTGGTGAAATTGGATGCCGCAATTATTTCCTCTGCACACATCCGGGTGATACTGAAATTCAATCAAACACATTAACGTTATTCAACATGTCTATAAACAGAGAAGAGCTAAACGAAAACTAATAACAGCATAATTACAAGGCAACAATTTCCCAGAAAGCAATTATTCCATGGCAATTACTAATCCACCAAATTATTTAGTAAAACAGAGACATCCTTTTTGCATTAATTTTTTTTAAAACATTCGTCAACTTGTATCAATCTCGACTATTTTATAATTACTTTCAAGTTGCAATAAGCACAACCAGAGCAAATGTAGCCTTTCAGCTACGAGTTCAACTGAACTTATAACTTTAGTATGAGTAAAAACCTATTAAAATCGAAAAAGTACAATAAATTTAATACTAAAAATTCTAAAAACTAAACACATTAAATTTAAATTCTGAATCTGCCCGGCAAATAAAATTATGAAGGAGGAAGAATATACCTGAAGAGCAAGCTGTCTAAAAGCTTTCCTGACTTCAGATTCAGAAGCACCAGGCTGAATCCTCAACGTCTTGTAAGGATCACTCACAGAAGGGGAATAAACACACGATACCTTAAATCTAACATTCTCACCCTTCGTCTTCTTCTTTGAGCAGTTTTTCAAACGAATCCAAGACGCAGATGCAGAGCCGCAACCCCCAACGTTTCCCAGCATTCCAATAGCAGTCGCCATTAACGAATTAACTTTTCAAATAACCAACTTATCTATTTTCAAAAAATATTGATGTGATTCTAAGAAAATTAGCCACAAGCCGATCTTTAAATAGATTATGAATTAAATTGAATATTCAATGAAAACGGATCAAATAACACGGCAAACCGAATGTGAATGAGACTATGTTTGCTTTCCTAATTTATTAATCCGAATAATTGGTCTTGTAGAGGTCAACAAGATGGAAAAAGGAAAAGGAAAATTAAATAACAATGTGGATATAAAGATGTTTGAGTTGTTAAGGAGAGTCTGTTTATATATACATGTAAAGGAGAAGAAAAAGGGATAAGAGAAAGAATGGTACGGTGTCTTTAGGGGGGGTGGGGTGGGAGGTGGGGGTACCTGGTATGATGGTAGTGGTTGATGGGGAGGTGACGTGTCAGTCTTTGTGTGAAGGTAAAATAATGTTGTTTAAATTTCTATCTCCATAATTCTCTATTTTTCGCAATATTCCTATTTATAGTAGGAGTAGTACGAAACCTATTTCTATTTTTTTTTTTAAATAGAAATAAAAAAATATTTATATATTAATTTGACAATGAAATTATTAAATTTAAATTAAATAAACTAATAAATATCAAATCCTAAATAGTTTTTTTGGATTTGATAACTGAGACCGGCTCTTCATTCACGAGCTTATCCGACTTTTGGCCGCTGGTTTGGTCTCATGTAGCAGGAATCCTTTTATATGGAGGCCTCTGTTTTATTATAATTTTTCAATTTATGTGAACCTGTTTGACTGGGTACTGAGTTTAAGAATAAAATGAAGATTTTTGAAATTTGTGGTCCTAAACAAGTTCAAATGGGGCCCAGAGTATTTGTGTGGTTATAAAAGCTTCTCATTAAGGGTAAAGTTGTAACTTTAAGCTAAATTGTTACCAAATTTAGAAAAGGTTCATTCTTTTTGGAACGGACTAAAAAGGAAATAGGTTCCCGTAGACTTGAACTGAGGGAGTATTCCGTTTTTGACCTCTATTTGATTTCCCTTTTTTGTTTATTTTCTTCTTATTTAATGGTTAAGAAGATTTTGCTTCTATTTTCCTTTAGATATTATGGGTCGTTTTCTTTATCTTTTACACAAATTTGGCATTAATAAAATTTATTCAAAAGAAATTAGAGTGACTGTTTAGATTTTATTATAATTGCTTTACAACAGAAAGGAATTGGCTCTCAAGAAGGAAATAGGAACCTGGGGTTCTGGATAAGATTTTGTTCTAAGGTACAGGTAAAAACATTAGACAATTTTAAAACCAAAATGATGTCACGTCAAAATATTCATAAAATAGAAATGAGACATAAAAATCATATTACTAATGATAGCCAACAAAACCACGACGATGTTGGTTGCCACGTCATTTTCTTAGTTAGATCCCAAGAAATTGTATGATCGAATGCATGTAGCAAATGTCTAATTAAAATGGCAAGTAAAACATCACAGTCTAGAAAATCCATAAATCTATTGCGTAGTTTTATATTTTTTAATCTTTTAAATTTATCCATTTTATATATTTTCTTAGTTATGAGGTAGAGGTTAGAGCCAATATTTAAAGCTTATGAATTCGAAGAAAATATTAACGCAATCCATCCATCTTTCTGAACTTTAAGACAAAGATAAAAATATTTACTGGCACTTAATATTTAATTTATATCAAATCATATATGAAGTAATATTATATAGTTGCTAATTAATTACTATAATTAAGTGATGGAAATTTAAATATAAATCCATATCATGTACGATTGATTAATGTTTTTTTAAAAGAAGAGTAATTGGTTGAATGGAATAAAAAGGGAAGTTAAAGAGATTGCTGTCAACGTGGAGCCAGGTCATAAAACACGTGGCTGAATAGCGTGACAGTACGGTACGACGAGGGAGCGAAAGCGCAGATTTGGATTTTGGAACGTGGTTAGGGGAGCAGCACCCAACAGCGACTCGGCCATTGCAGCTGGTGCGGTCTTTTTTTTTTAGAATTTCACTAGTCTTCAAAAGCCAGCTGAGCCGATACTAGTAATTAATTAAGTAGACGTGGCGCACATGCATTGGCAATATGGATGCTTGATCTCTATAAGCTCCTTACAACTTGTTTGGATGGTTGTTACTGCTATATTGTATCGTATTGTTACTTTAAATACAATATTTATTTTGATTGTCACTTAAATTTTATTGTATCGTATTGTTAAATCCGTCGTTACGTAACGATAAAAAATATCACTTTATGGAACGACCGATTTGGTGAGATCGTATCGTTACCTTTTTTTTTTCTCTCATCTTGCCTGTTTACCCTCAAATTCGGATAACAACTAAACTTATATTGTGGTTTTAAGGATACATGATCTCGTTCAATACTAATTGATAAGCAAGAAAATAAGTGAATAAATTAGAGAATAAAATAAATCAAATCAGTATGCTAACCGGGTCTCAACCTCGACTTGGGGTAGTCTCGAGGTGGGATCGTAAGAATGATAAAGCAATTCTGATGAACAGTAAGTGAATTGCAGGAAAGTAATGAATGTAAATATTCTTATCAGTGAACAATGAATGTTACAAAAGAATGAGATCCCTCTTTATATAATAGAGGAGTCCTAAATAAGGTACACTTCTAATTATAGTAGGAAACTATATTAACATCTAATTAACCGCTATAGATTGATCCGTTCCGAGATTCATGCCACGATCCTCGACCAATCGCGAATATCTCGCCTTTTCCGTTATCAAGCTACGTCGATGTCACTCGAAGTCTGCCTCTTTCTGGTCGCAATCGATATCTACCTCGATCTGGACTCGACATCCCAGCTCTTTGACGTGACGTTCCTATCCCGACCAAAGAATGAAATCGGGGATAGTCCACTCGTTTCTTATAGTAAAATGATAAGAAACGACTTGAGCCTCGATTGTCTGGAGACCTTGATAATGATGTCATCCCCCTGACATAAGCGATCGAGGTGACCGAAACGTCCCGTCGGTACAGTTCCCCAAACCATTAATGCTTGCCAGTGGACGGTCGGCCACTAGCACCACCGAACCGTCACCGTGAATCTATAAATACAGGTTCCTTGGTTGAATCAAAATTTTACTTTCACCTCCACCAAGTTTCCTAAGTTTCTTACTTTCTCCATCTCTTCTCTTTCACCACCCATTGAATCAACTTAGTTAGCACCAGAAACACCAAATTTCACCTTTTTCCGCTTCTTTCTACCCGAATCAATGGCGAAAACCTCCAAGACCATCCCACAAAAGGAGAAAGCTTCTTCCTCTTCTTCCCGGCCGGCCGGTGACAAAACGCCGGTGGAACCGCTCCCTCATGACTATGTTCCCGGCCCTTGTGTCTTAAAATCCAACTTCAAAGTCGAGAACCCTCATCGATCCCTGGCCGATGTGAACACGTGTCGAGATACATCTGCTCGATAATGGTGGGCCATCTCAAGGCTGTGAAGAGAGACTGTAACACGGGGGCCGAGGTCGTAGTACAAATCCCCGCTCCTGAAGAGAGCATTACGACCTATGTAGAGGGGTTTCTAAGTGTCTACACTTACCCCTTCACATTGGGTCCTCTCGACCCAGTCATTGTCGACTTTTGCAAGAGGTACCAGGTCACCCTCAACCAGGTTCACCCCTCATTCTGGCGCATAGTGATCATGCTCCGCTTCTTTTCCAGCAAGGCCGAGGGGTTGGAGTTCACTCTCAGCCACCTCATACGGTTATATCAACCTCATCTTTTTCTAGGGTTGATCAAGCTCCAACGTCGAGCCACGAAGGCCTTGTTCACGAGCATCGATGAGGATAAGGATCGAGGTTGAATGAACTGGTTCGTGCGGGTAAGGACTTGTGGAACCCCGATCGTAAGTAAAGTATTACTCATTAGTCTTTGTACTCTATTTTTTGCCTTATATAATACTTTCATCTGTTATGCAGCGGTTGCCTGGATGTCTCACGCGGTCCCCGACTTCGAAGACTGGGTTCAAAAGTTGGCTGCGACTTCCTCCTATGGCGAGCGATGCTGGCATGACTTGGCAAGGGGCAGATGAGAGGCCAAGAATCATGGTAAGCTTATCCTATACGCTTTCGATGCCTTTTTTTTGAAACGTTTCTTTTTATTTATACTTTACTCCCTTTTATGCAAGCCTCAGAGACGTTGCTGAAATGAGGCCTCCCCCGCCTGAGGAAGAGGCCGAGTCCCTAATTCCGAAGTCGGGGAAAGATAACAAGAGGAAGATGGTCTCAGAGTCCGAGGACCCCCAACCTAAAAAGGCTCCAGCTCGAAGACACAGGAGAAATTTCATCCCTCTGACTATAGAGTCGGTCCACCAGTCGGGGAAAGAAGAAGAAGAAGATGATGGCGATGACTCGACACTAGTGGTTCGAGCAAGTAAGCCTATCATGGTCACCAAGCCTTCCAAGTTGGAGGCGATTGTTGAGACCCGACCTCGTGATGAGGATGCCTCAAAGAAAGATTCGGGTGAAGCCCCCGAATCGCCTGAGGTTGAGGTTATCCTTCGGCCATCAACGATCATACCAGAGGGGGCCGGTTCTGAGACACCCAAGGCAGAACAAGGCGCCCCGAGCGATTCGCTCGGGGTCATGACAGTAGGTTACTCTCCTTCTCTACCAGCCTATTCTGAGGAGGCCGTAAGGGTTGCTCAGGCTCTACAGACTCCTGACATAGGCGGAGTCCCTAGTGAAGAGGATCCCTTTTGGGATTGTTTTACTGGGATCGATGATGTCGCTGATCTCAATGATGCATCTACCCTCTTTGAAGAAGCCCAACGTCTTTTATCACGAGTAAGTACTAATCCCCATTGTTGCAATTTTCATTTCCTTCTTCTCCCTTAATATAATTTGTATTTTTCTTCTCATATAGGCTTTTACAAGGTCTCAGGCCGACTTGAGCCAATGCGAGGTCAAGCTCCAGAATACCTCGGAGGAGAGGAATGCTTTGAAGCTCCTTTGCGGTCAAAAGGATGAATAGCTCAGGGATCTTCGAGCAGACTTGGCCCAGGCTCGTAAGGAAGAGGCCGAGCTGGACGAGCAGGTAAATGTCCTTTTGAGAACACATGGTCTTGATCCAAGAGTGGAGGCTAATACCTCGATGTCTCAGTTACAGCAAAAGATTGAAAGGATCGAGCTGCTCTAGGGGAAGCCGATCAAGTTAAAGCTGACTACAATCGGTGGAAATATAACATGGACCACCTAGTTGCGGAGAAAGAGGCTGCCTTGGTGTAGCTGTCGT